GCCTTGGATTACATTTACGTGCCTTGCGCTCCAATCATACTTACAGAAGGAGCAAGTGGTGAGCCACCTCTTGAAGGTGGGGAAGCAACATCATAAGGTTACAAACTTGAGAGGGAAAGAACAGCATAAACTCTACAAAGAATTGCTGAATGGGTTTAGAAGTAATAAAGCTATAACTGGTAGATAGTCAGCACGAAGAGTTCTATGTCCTGAGGGAACATGAGAAAATTGAGACTTTAAGGGAAGACAGACAAAACTGAAACATATTAAAGGTAAGCCATGCAGAAGACTACAGGCAGGATTGGTTATTGTTTTGGCAGGATTATCAATTCTAGGATGGTGAAGGTAAACTATAGACAATTTTGAACATTAAAAAGCTCATTGTCTTCATATTCTTACCCCAGAGATCTCAGGAGCATGTTTGAAAAACACGTGTCCAGGCCTCCGGGAGAGGTGGCAGGGGAGAAATAGTGATTGGAATTACAGCATTAAGAAAAAGGAAAAGAAATTAGTCATTGAAAGCTTGTAAATGGTGAGAGCCCTCCGTAAGGTAAAGAAGAAAAAGGACCAATTTAAGAAACAGGTCAAACTCTTAAAAGGTGCATGCCTTGGTTTTCTTGTGTAATCATCTGTTAACTCTTCAGACTTAACAATGTGAATGAGTGATCACATGCATTACAGCAATAAAAAAGTCTCAGGCCATGGCTGCTAAGAAGCTCAAAACATCCTAGTGTCTGAGTAAGATGCTTTTGCCAGAACTCAGCAGTAATTGTAGGAGAATAAGTATGGACTTTAATTTCTTTGAAAAATTAACTCACAAGAGGAAGATTTTTATGTGCCAACTTGATTACTGCCCTGATAGCTGGTAAAGTATTATTTCTGAGTAGGTCTGTGAGGGTGTCTCCAGAAGAGGTGAACTTTTGAATCAGTAGACTGAGCAAAGAAAATCACACTCATTAATATGGGTAGACATCTTCTAATCAGTGAACACCTAAATAGAACAAAGAGGTAGAGGTAGGGCGAATTTGCTCTCTCTTCTTGAGCTGAGTCATCCATCTTCTCCTGCCCTCTGACATCAGCCCTCTGGGTTCTCAAGCTTTTGGACTCAGAACTAGACTTATGCCATTGATCCCAAGGTCTTCAGGCCTTTAAATTTGGACTGCATTACACCACCATCTTTCTTGGTTCTCCAGCTTGCAGATCACAGATTGGGGAACTTCTTGGCCTCCGTAATCACATGAGCCAATTCCTATAATAAATCTCATAATACATTTCTAAATAAATCTCATTCTATATGTATGTCCTATTGATTTTTTTTTTTTTCTGGAGAACCCTGACTAACACATGGCCTGAGCTCAGAACGGATACTCTTACAATACACTGGGACTTTTATCAAAACAAATTTTGTTCTGAACTTCCTAGAAAATAAAACCGTTGTTATCACTTACTTTTTCTTTTTCATGTAGATATTAGGATATATTACCAGGAGAAAAATGAATAATTAAATGATCTCTTAGGATATCCTGCAAAAGTATACTCAAAAAGCTTTCCCTAGTTTACCTGCCATTAACAATGTACAAAGTGTGTGGTTTTAATTCACCTTGTCAAAATAGACTGTTACTCTTTTTACATTTTATTTCAGTCAGAATAGGCTATGTCATTCTCAGTTAGTTACAACAATTTGGGTTTATATTTGCTCAAACTACATATCTTTTGCAGGCTGGATAGGCAGTCTGTACTGTGTCATCCTCTCTCTGGAGGGTTTTACATCAGTAATTACATATTCTGTTCTAGAAGTGAAAAATATCACTTATATTCACCACCCCATTGACTAGCATAATGGTTTCACCCAATCACAAGTTGCCCAGGAAATGCCAATTTAGCGTACACCTACCATAGACCAATAAGGAAGAGGGCTAGAAAATATTTCAGGATCAGCACTAGAATCATTGTACATTTTCCCAAATTTCATAGCTGAAAAATGACAGCTTGCTTATTTTGCATTTATATTACAAGAGAGGTTGATCAGTTTCTCTCTTTTTTAGTCTTATATATTAAAACGAGTATGTAAAAAGAATTGTTTGAAAACTTTAAGTTGTCCTCACGTTATTGGTAAGGATTTGCCATTGTCCCTCCCTCATCAGGAAGTTCCATGTAGGGAAATGCAGGGTAATGATTACCTGATTTGCAAACACACTATAAGCAACACATATAGAATTGTTCAATAGGGACATTGATTATTAACAATGTTTGGTAAACTTTGACTGATTCATAGTTATGCCAAGATAACATTAGTCAGCCTACCTAATCTATTCTGCCAAAGGTACTTATTTTTCCCTGGTACATTTCTTATGCCTCTTTCGATTGGAAGTGACAGAATTCTAATTCAAACTAGTTTAATAAAGCAAAAATATATGCCCTCAAGTAAAAACTACAGGGATTCCCTAGGTTTAGGCATGCTGGATATCTGAGGTCAAATAATATCATCAGAAACCTCACTCCTTCTCTCCATTCCTCATGTCTGTTTTCCTCATGTTGATCCTCGACAGCTTTTCTCCACGTGGCTGTGGAGAAAACCTTTGTAATTTATAGGCAATCTTTGCCCCTATATTAAACTTGGAGCTAGGAATCTTAGAGACTAGGTTGTGACCTTCATTTTCCCACATTTTTATCAATCCTCAAGAAGACATGGTTTAACCTTGCTTGAAAAATATCCCCAAATGGGAACAGCATCTCTATTTAGGGGCAAGGGATAAGTATATACAGTATCAATCAGAAATCGGCCAGCTTTCTTTTCAGCCTGTTTTGGACCAAGTAATATTTCTCCAATTTTATTTGTTAAAATTTTAATCCCTAGTACCTCAGAATGTGACTGTATATCTTGAGGTAGGCTTTTAAAGGTGGTAATTAAGTTAAAATGAGGTCATCAAAGAGGCACTAATCCAATGTGACTGATGTCCTTATAAGAAGAGGCTATCTAGACACAGACATGTACAGAGGTGAAGATCATGTGAAGACGGCAGGAGTCAATGGCCATCTACAAGTCAAGCAGTGAGGCCTCAGAAGAAACCAAGACTGCCAAATCTTTCATTTTGGACTTTTGACCTTTGGAACTGTGAGAACATAAATTTCTATTGTTTGAGCCAGCCAATCTTTGATAATGTGTCATTTCAGCCCTGACATACTGACACATATCCCCGGTCTTATAGCAGCATGAGGTAGGTGTGGCACTTTGATTGCCCACCCAACCACACGCTCCAGACTAGAAGGAAGGCAGTCTTTGGGAAAGAAGAAGAGGTTTCGTAACTTGAAGAAGGAGAGAGTGATGCTGGACATACCATAATTGCTGGTGTCCCCACCAATGGAGAGTAACCAATCTGCCTTGGGCAAAGGTCATGATTTCACAGCACCATTCTGGAAAGAGAATCGATTATTTATGATAGCTGTCTCATCAGAATTGTTCAAAACATTCTGAACCTCAGCTTCAACCATTACAAGTTTTGTACAGGTGGGGCTGACAGCAGAGCACACAGATCCAACAAGGCTCTTGGGTCAATCCAGTCTGGATTTGGATCTGGAATCTGTCCATTTCCTGCTAAGATTACCCTGGGAAGTTATCAGAGTATATGTTTCCTCTTTTATAAAGTGGAGATAATAGAAGTACTTTCATCCTGCAGTTGTTTTGAGGGTTCTTTAAGTTAATTCACATAGAATTCTTAACACATTTTCTAATACAGTAATAGAAATAGTGCATACTGCCTACTATTGTTCTTATTATACCTAATATAACTATTATTCTTGCTATGTATAGATTGTCTAACACATTCAAATGACTATTGCATATAAGTTATTCAAAGATTTGGATTTTTGCTTAAGTATTACCTTTAGACCTTATCATTGACACCCAAATAAAGAAGATAGATATAAAAGATTTAAAATATGTCCTAAAGCATATTTCAGAAAGAGAATAGAAATTGGACCTGAACATTTCACACATCTCAGTGTTGACTATGAAACGCCTGTGTGATAACAAAGTAAAAGTGTTCAGTTTACAGCTAGAGCTCTGATACTATACCTAAGGACAGAGGTCAAGACAGTAGATATTAATTGAAGAATCATTAGTTTATGTCAGAGACTAAAAACTAAAAAATTGGAGAAATGGATTGTTGTTTTTCTTCTTAAACAGACTTTGACATATAAATTGGCTACCATTTAATTAATATCATATATAAAAAAAATGAGCTTTTCTTAATAAATCAAGTGGTTTGGGCCTAGTGCCTAGCATTTTCATATGGCAGATATCAGTGGGAACTGAGGAGCAGCTGCTCCTTTTGGTCATAAATCCAACTCTTCACTTGGAATATGCATGGGAAAATATTTCCCATTCATTTGGACTACCTCCCTGTTCTATGGAGGCATTTGAGTGAGAGCCTTGATGAAGCTGATTGTTAAGGACAGAGATATAGGGGAGGTTTCTCTCTGGAAGACTAAAAGGGAATCAACTATGAAAGTGGGAAGAGGGAGAGGAGTCATTCGAGGAAAATGAGAAGGATTAGTTAGTGAGAATACCAGAAGGGAGCATTGTCATCACCCTCAAAATAGCAGATAGTGTTAATTAAAGGTAGATGGTCAAACGATGTCACATTCCCCAAACAAACTACCTGGTAGGCTGAGTCAAACAAGTCTACTAGTTTTGTTATTTAGAAAATTATTCATGACATACAGTAGCAAAAGCAGTTTCATTCTTGTGATTAGACAGAAATCTATAATGGACAAGAAGTAAGGAAGAAGTAAAGAAGTTTTTGTTTTTCTTTTTCTTTTTTAAATATTTTGTTTAATAAAGTGAGAATTACCTGAGGTTTTATGGGATAGTTGTATTTCTTTTATTCATTAAAAATTGTTTATTGACCAACTGGGCAAAAGTTGAAGTAAAAGATGTTGCAAATAGAGCAAAAAGACAGAAGCAATTCTAGACAGCTGAGACTGAACAAATTATTTTTTAAAATATGGAACACTTCATGAATTTGCATGTCATCTTTGCACAGAGCTGATGCTAATCTATGTGTCTTTCAGTTTTAGTATATGTGCTTTCAAAGCGAGAAGAACAGAATTTTAATCACATCTATATGTGTGAATTGTAAGACTTGCTAAACCTGATATGAATGTCCCATAACTTCCTGGAGCTCAAAAAGTTTAAAATTAATTTAATTAATTAATTCTACCCATCTTCTAACATATATCTGTTCTTACACTCTCTTTCCTAGTTACCCATTCTCCAAATGAGAAGTCGGGAGTCCGTTTTATATTTCTTCTTTTTTACCATCAGTCTATTACTGTGATCTTTCCTCCCACCTCCCACCCAATCAGACACAAAGCTCTAATAATTCTTCTCTTTAGCCTGCCGGTAGTCTATCTTATTTCTTAAACAAGTGTCTCTTTTTTGTGATCGTCACTGAACTGGAAACTCTTTGAGGGTGAGGCTTGTTCTTTATGTTTTTCCTAATTTCAACTCCTACAGGCATATAATAAAATATATTCAGTAAATTTTGTAGCAATGAACTAAACGATCTGGTCCATGGTCTTCCAGTTTCATGCCCGATTTCTCCTGGATCCTGCACTCCAGCCACATTGTACAACCCACTCTTCCACTAATACCCTGGGTAATTCCGTGTTCCTTTGTATTTACACAGCTATTCCTTCACCCAGGAATGCTCTTTACAATGCATTGTCCACCTGGAAATTGGATGATGACTTCGAAAAGTTAGTAGAAGAATTAATGCTTCTGTAAAATCTTTCTTTATTCCTCTATTAGTATGTAGACTTTTCCTTTCTTTTCCTTTCTGGCACACAACAAAACATTTCTCAGCCTCACTTGTTGTTTGACATGGCTATAGAATAAGAGTGGAAACAATATATATACTCTTATGAGTGGCCATAAATTCTTCCCAGTTTTCATTTTTCATACCATTTTCCACTTTCAGATAGCTGGCTTATAGAACCCCTCAAAGGAGATCCCAGGAACTATGTGTTGAAGATGACACTGCAGTCCTGTGCTGCTAAACCTGGGAATATGTTCTTAGAAATGCGTCACTAAGTGAATTTGTTGTTGTGCAAACCTCATAGAGTGCCCTTACACAAACCTCGGTGTTAAAGCTTCCTACTGGAACCAACAGCAGGTCCAGCTGCCTGCCACTACAGAAGCCAATACTCAGAGGCAGGGGCTGATGTAAAGGAAAGTGGCTTATTTTCAGGTGCCAGCCACTGGGAAGATGGGGGAACTCATGCCTCTAAAACCCATTCCTTGAGAAGATCGGGGTTAGAGCAAAGCCTAACTCCACATCTCAACAGAAGCAGAGGTTTTTATAAGGAGGGAGAGGGGAACAGAACAAAGAGATCAAGGGAGAGGGTTGAAAAATTCTCTACCTGCAAATGAGCACAGTCCATCCTGATAAGGCAAGTGATGGTCTGGTGTGCCATCCTGGTTTAGTTGTCCTGGATTCATATCATCCTGACTCCACGTCACCCTGGCTCCATTTGCTGGCTCGAAGGTCAGCACATCTCCTGGAGCTGGGATGTCTGAAGGTCAGGATCTGTATCTTTAAAAGTTAGTTCCTAGGATTCTTATACAAAGATGCTGTTCATGTACAAGCTGCATATTAGAGTCAGCACTTAATGTCAAAGGAATAGTGGGGTGGGTTACAGCTTCCCACCTTTACAGTTTTCCACTGATACAATACTGTTATTTACATGCTATACCTTTATTCAACTGGCAGTGCAATAGGTTTTTTACACTCGCATCACCACAAACACCTGAGTAATTGTAGTGTAAGCTCTGACAGCTGGCTTTCCTTGTCATAACGTGAATGCCTGACTTAAGCTTTGACTGCCTAGGCATCCATTTCTAGGCTGGCATCCATTTCACAGAATCATCTGGTTTCATTCAGGAAAGCCACTGTGAATGAAAAAATGTGTTGCCAGCCACATGGCTAGATAAAGAGCCAGGCAGCCTCCCCCCTTGCTCATTTTTTTAAGAGATCTTGGTTGGTTTAGATAACAGAAAAATTTGGATTACTTTTTTTTCCTTCCTGTGCTTTGAATTCCCACTCTTTCATTTTAAATTTACCAATAAAGAATGCAATCATGAAAGCCTACACCCCGTCCTCAACCCCAATAAAAGCAGAACCTCAGGCCCACACACATGCAAATTCATGACAAGACCTCCCTCCCTCTCTCTGTGTCTCTTCTCTCTCTGTCATTCTCCACAGGACCTACTTGTGTGCCCTTGACCATGCCTTGCACTCTCCAGGGCCTGTAAGTAATAACCTCTTTATTTTTCTTCAAAGTTTCCTAATGGTTATGGTGGAAGGGCAACTTGCAATCATAATAAGAGCCACAAGAGTCAGTCCAATAATAATACTGGCTTTGAAACAGGAGATGTCTGGGGGAAGCGCCAGCCCAGGTGAGTGCCCTCAGGCATTTTTAGCTGAAAGCGTTGCTATGTATGAATAGACTGAGAGGGCACAAAACACTGATGTGTTGCACTATGACATTACCACAGCTATGACATCACTAGGCAATAGGAGTTTTTCTGCTCCATTATAATCTTATGGAACCACTGTTGTATATATATGGACCATCATTGACTGAAATATTGTCATTCGGTGCATGACTATATTGGAAAAATGAACAAGGTGCCCAAGTCATCGCTTAGAAAAGAACTGCTCAACCATCAACTCCTGTCTGGGGCCACTGTAAGAGTAAGAAATAAACCTTCATGATGTTAAATTTCAACTCAAATTTTGGATTTTCTCCATTATAGCCACTAGTGTAATTGTAACTAATACAGTTCTTCTCATTGCATCTTGTAACCCCATTATAACTCATAATAGTTTGTAATAACTGATAGGTATGTCTATCATTCTACTAGGCATGCCTGTTGCGAAAACATAATCTCTATCAGTCTTCCTAGTATCTTCCTAGTCTTCCCAGTCTTCCTAGTAGCACAAAATAGGTGTTGTTTTACAAACATAAATTCTAAGTTTAATGGGAGAGCCACAATGTAATATGTTGGCTTTTTCTCAAATTATTTTTTGAGGATGATAGTTCACAAAAAAAATAGTCCTTATAAATAACTAGACTTTTCTCACTTGTGAAATTCTCTCATTAGAAACCATGAGATGTAAGCAGACCTATTTTACCCAGTTACCATAGGCAGTTCCTTCTATTCAGGATAACGAGTGATATTAGACATATTTTCAAATTCCAATGTATTTTTTAATTGTGTAGTTGAGTATTTGTATTTTCATCAGTGGTAAGTGCAATGGTAGCTTGTACAAATTAGCACTCATGGTCTGAGTGTTTTAGTACTATTGAATAATCACAGTTTGCACTTTGAAAGATAATTCCATCACGGCAAGCTTCCTGACCAACCCCCCCCCCCCCAAAAAAAAATCCCAAGACAAAACAAAAAACACAATGGCTTGACCATTATAAAATTTGCAGTAATTGTTAGAAATCACAAGTTTATTGAATAATAAATGCAGTAGTCACTTGGCTTTTAAACGTGAAGCTTTGAATTGGTGGTAAAAAGAAGTAGTTGCATACAATTCTTTCACTACCTGTCTCTTTTTTCCCAAAATCACAAAACCCTGGATTGGAAGTAAGAGTGAATTGTGAGGGGAGTGAAAAAGGATAATGGTTTATCAAGTCAAAATTATAACTCTTTTAGTCTTTTTCTAAGCTTTTTCTTTTATTCTGAGGCAAATAAGATATTTTCAAGCCATCTTAATTATAATGAGTGATTGTTAAATTCATAGAGAATGAAAAATGCCTTTGCTATTCAGAATTATACTAGAAAACAACTAGTACAAATAGATTTAGGAAGTACTGGTTATTAACCCAATACAAGGATATTTTATTTTATATTTTTTCTTCAAAGTAAAGTCTCATTAATTTGAATTGACAATTATTTAGAATTCATAATAAATCAATCATTTTAGTTTGAAGGTTGTTTTAAAATTTTGATGGTAAAGATAAAATTTCAGAAGTTTGTTAATTTATTTCCAGTGTTTAAAGAAAGGAAAAAAAGCATAGAACTGTTTATGGAATTACTACCAGTTACAATCTAATTGTAGCTGTTTACCAAAGTAAATATAAATGGATTTTGATTTTTCAATAATTGAGTTTATGTTACTATACACACTTGGGGTAGATGCAATATTTCTTTTACAATATCTTAGAATCTTAGTTTTCTGTATTTGCTCATATACATATTTCATTAAATAACAAGAAATAAACAGATAGAGATTAACATTAAATCTTTACTGTTGGAGAAAAGAAATTGCTCCTTCAAGTTAATATGCAAAGATTCAAAACAGGACATTCTAGGAACACAATGACCCAAACTGCATGGTCTTACTTTCTAATACCTACTCCATCCAAACTGTCTTTCCTAAGTGAAATGGCTGCTAGGAGATACTGAATGAATAGCTTGGTGGAAAGGACGCCATTTCTTCTCCTTTATGGAGGAAGTGCCCAGGATCACCAAAGGAGCCTTGAGCTAGATTATAATCACTGGAGTCCATATAGCACTTGGCCCCAGAGATTAGTGGAAACCCAGTGGAAGATCAAAAACTTTGTGGGCCTGATTTTCATTGGATTCCAAAGCAAATTAACTTTTTTTAAAATAAAGGAAAGAGAATTGGATTGTTTTCAAGCTTTTTCCATGTGCCCAAGCCTAGGAGAGAATGGCAGGTGCTTTACAAGGACTTCTACAATTGTAGAGGGCCAACAATATTTGTGCCTTTTTCCTCACTTTGGTACTCTGTGACCAGCTCTTAGTTCCACTGAGCGGAAAAACAAAACAAATAAACAAACAAAAAAATCATTCAGAAGGGCCCAGCAGCCAGAAAGAAGATCAGTCAGAACAAACAAAATAAATGCAAATAAAATTGAAATTCTGGATGAGATAGACAATAATTTAAAAGGAAATATGGAGTACTCAAGGAGATTCAAGTACTTATCAAGAAGTCTTTTGTGAAATAAAACTAAACAAACAAAAAAATCCACCCTTCTCCTCCCTGAAAAGAAAAAAGATATGACTTCCT